CAGGGCCAGGCTGCTGTCCCTGGGTGGGGGTCCCTCTTTTGGGGGGCTGGGGGTGTCCGGCAGGACCAGGCTGCTGTCCCTGGGCAGGGGTCCCTCCTCTGGGGGGCTTGGCAGCTTTTCCTCCCCCATGCCCGTGTCCTGCTGGGGCTGAGGGGGTTTGGGTGGCTGTGGGTGCCCCTGAGCTGTGTCCTCATCACCGCTTGGCGCTGCTGGCGGGGGGGTCCCCGTGGGGCTGCCGGGCCTGGGGGGCTCTGAGGTCTCTGGGGCCGGGGCAGAGCCCTCGGCCGCCCCGTGGCCGCTCATGTGCAGCTTCTTCATGTGGTGCACGACGGCCGCGGCGTTGAAGGCTTGCTGGGGAGGGAGACAAAAGCCCCGGTGAGCAGCTGGTGATGCCAGGACAGGCCGTGCCCGCTGTGCTGCACTGGCTCTTTGGGATGGGCACATTCCTGCCACAAACACCACCTTTTCTTTTTCCATTGGGTGCCAGCTGCTGGTTTGGAGCCCACAGCTGCTTCCAGCCCAGGAACAGCTGGAAATGACCCCCTGCCCTCTGCTGTCCTGGGGAGCCCCTGTAGCTCCATGTTTGGGGTGAATCTCTCTTTGCAGCGGGGAATGTTGCTGCAAACGCCCTGCAAACATCGACTGCGGGCAGCTCCAGCTTCGGGGGATCCCAGTCCTGGGTGCTCACCCACCCAGCTGAAGCCCTGCTCAGCGCTGGCTGACAGCAACTGGTATTTGTTGGTGGAATGGCTGTGGGCTCCTGGCAGCAGCCACTTACCCTCCATTTGCTCTTTGCAAAGTTTTTCTGGATCTGAGCACTGACAGATGGGTAGATGTCACGGTGAAGGGCTGTATTTCCATTAATCCTGCAGATGGAAGAGAAGAAAATGGGCTCGTAGGCAGATGGCATTTGTAAGGCATTCCACATTCTGGAAGCACTGAACTGCTTTGTACGTTCAATCAGCAATAATTAAACCCAAAGGAAAAACAGCAACAAAATGGAACACAAACACACACTTCAAAGCCTGGGAAAGCTCAGGGTGGGATTTCTCCCCTGCCTCTGTTTGTGGAGGCAAATATGCACAAATTGCATCTTTAATTATTCATGGTTTGCTTTCTTTGCACACAAGAAGGAGCCAGCCCCGAGTGTGTGGGGGAGGCAGTGACGTTTGTGATGCTCCTGATGGGGTGGGGGGCACTGCTGCTGGGGGGACACTGCTGCTGGGGGGAGCACAGAGTGACCCCTGGGGCTGCAGGACCCCCGTGGCCATACAGAGTGACCCCTGGGGCTGCAGGACCCCTGTGGCCACCCTGACTGACCCCTGGGGCTGCAGGACCCCCGCTGGGGCTGCAGGACCCCCGTGCACCCCCAGCTCACCAGGGGTGCCTCAGGGCCTCCTCGCAGGTGAACCTCGCGCTCGGGTTCTTCTCCAGGAGATGCCGGATGAAGTCCTTGGCTGCTTGGGAAAGGGGGAAAGCAGAGAGGGGTTACAGGGGTTCTTGTCTCCTTCCTCCAGAGCTGATGCGAGCAGAACCTGGGAAATGCTGCTGGCTGGACAGCACAGAGCTCAGCCCTGAGGAGGAGGGGTTTGGTCGCTGCACCACGCGAGGTTCAGGTTGGATTTTGGGAAGAATTCCTTCGCTGAAAGGGTGGTCAGGCACTGGAAGGGGCTGGCCAGGGCAGTGCTGGTGTCACCGTCCCTGGAAGTGCTCAAAGAATGAGTAGATGGTTCTTGGTGGGATTCAGTCAGAGGCTGGACTTGATCTTGGAGATCTTTTCCAACCTTAATAATTCTCTGCTTACTCCAATGAAGGAAAATTCTTATAGTGATGGGCTCCAGATGAAAAAATATCAACTCTGGATGTGCCAAACTTCACTCCTAGATTGTTGGAGTTGAATTATTAATCTAAAAAATAACTCTAGAAACCATGAAGTGAAAACTGAGCAGATTTAGAAGTTGCCTGAAGAGCTCTTACATCTCTCCTCTTTTTTTCCCCTCTGTTTTTCTTGCAGGAAGGATTGTGATGTTTGTTATTAAACCCCAGCACACCCCCTGCTAGGTTTGTTTGTTTGTATAAAAGATTGATGTTGAAATAAGCCGAGAGCAGCTGCCTGCAGTGCGCTGTGCACAGGGCAGCTGCACCAGCATCTTGGGCTGGTGAGGGGACAGAACAGAGGAAAAAAATGGGAAAAATCGGCAGTTTCCCTTCTGGCAGCATCACAGAATGGTTTGGGCTGGAAGGAGCCCCAGGGCTGACCCGGTGCCATCCAGCCCCGTCGTTACCCGACTCGGAGATATCGT